GGTGCATGTACATATCCAGAATCAGCCAGTGATCACTTTCACTATGATTCAAAATGAGCAAAGACCATTAAAAACATTAAGGCCACAAAAGACTCCTCATATCAGTACAAGAGCATCTTAACCAGCTAAGGAAGATGAATAAGGAGAGAATAAAGTCTATCCCATCCACCAACATCGATGTCCATTATATAATAGGATGGCAGATTTCTATATATAGGGCTATATTTAATTTTCAGAACATTATTATGGGATAAGTCCACGGGTGGTATTACTCACATCTTCTAGACAGGAAGCATAAACAACTAAACCACAATTTTGGAGCAGGTCTATTGATTTATAATCCACTATTCTTCATAGTATGCCCCATTAAATACTTACCTTTCTCTTTCAGAGTGACAGCTATGCTAACCGCACTGAGACAGGAGGGAATGGGCTCCTTAGTTGTCACCCTCTTCAGTAGGTTGTGAGGATTAAATCAAGTCAATACAAGGAAAATATTTTAAGTAGTTCCTACATGTTATGTGCTTAAGTGTGCATTAAATTTATACATAGATTATCTGTGTATACCAAATGCACACGTTTGTATATAGGCAGATGTGTGTGCAAACTTACATGGATATTCTGATATACACACAACTTGGAAGAGGATACCTAAGTAGTCAGCAGGAAGTACAGTACTTCAAGCTGGACAACCTAATAGTAAATAGAGAAACATTTTATTAAGAATGTTGTCTTCAGTTTTATGATCCATAAATCCTATATATTAGACATAATTCTGTAAAGTTCTTCACTCTCTGTCTACAGTGGGGAGGAGGGGGAAGCTGTGCTCTGTAAGTGTGTGTGTGTGTGTGTCTGTGTGTGTGATAGTCCCTTTCTTCCAGTCCCAGGCTGAATAATTTGCAGTGCAGTCTTGAGGTGTAGTACAGGCACCAGTTACCTGGATGGCAGAACTTCCAAGGGGACTTTTCTTACGAACCTGAGAAGGAAAACCTCCACAGAGTTTGGGAGACAGGCCATGGGAATGAGGAGGAGATGGGGGCATGGGAAACAGGAGACATCATAGAACTAGCTCTATTAATTCCAGAACCTGAGCTTGAGCCACCTAGGAAGAAAGAAGGGAAAGTAACCGCCCCCTCATCGGCAGATGCCAGCCTTCCATGCGGGCGCTGGGCATGGCAAGAGGACTATGCCAGATCTGAGGCAGGGCCCCAGCTATGAAGCCTATAGCACATGTGGGGCAGGGGAGTGAACAGACACTGAGAAACAGAAACTATTGGAAGAGCTAAACCCCCGCCCCCAGGTGAGGTAGGTTGCTCAGTGCCCTCCTTCCTCGGAACAGAGAAGATGGGGGGGGGGGGTGGAACAGTTGGGCAGGACACGAGACACATGAGATGACCCGCAGGACTGGAAGGGGCAGGATGACACAGGACACTTCCCTGTCTTTTTTTCTGTACGCTTCTAGTCTTTGCTTGTTCAACAATTTCCCCATTAGAGGTCATATTCATGGGCAAAAACGCCTACTGGGGTAAGTAAGCCATAGTTCACAGGTCATGCATAGGATCCACCACGCAATTTGGACTCCATACCAGACCACAACCACTCATGTGTATTTGCAACTAGTTTCTTCGGGTCCTACAGAGGCTGTCACGTACTCTAGGCTCCAGGGGTTTGAGGGCTGCAAAGTCAAGGCTGCTCGGAGTTGGGAACTTTCCCAGAGGAGATTCGGAATTAACTCTCCCGTGCTGTACATTTAAAAAGATATACAAGCATCTCTTCCTGTCTCCCTCCCCCGCTGTGCAGGCCTGTGGGTGCCCGCTGCACCTGGTAAAGATGCCCTGTAACATACGGCCCCCTCCACGTGCAAATGCCTGGAGAAAGAGATGAGTGAAGGACTCTCAGACCCCAGATGTCGGATCATTTCTAGGCATTATTCCAGTGACTGGGACACAACAAATACTTGTAAGTAACCGGTTAGCTTTGTGACCTGCCCCCACCCCCACCCCTACCTGCCAGACACTCAGAGATCAGGCCACCTGGGAAGCCTGGAAGCTTGGGACACCTGGTGTGGAATTTGTGGAACCAGCTTGTCTTGGGGCACTGTGACCTTATTTCCTCCGCAGCTGTGTGGAGGCATTAACCCAATAGTCTCAGCTAGGAGACACTGAATTCTAGAAACTCTCTTCCAGAGTCTGAATGCAGGAAAGGATTGCGGTGCATCTGGCATTGCAGCATTAAAAGAAAATATTACTGAGTTTGCCTTGGCTGAATGTAAAACTAGCTTTGGGGATCCTTCCTTTACTACCTCCTGCCAAAACGACCTGTACACAGTGCAGTCAACAAGCACACACGTCTACCTACCTGGATCGCCTAGGGCAATTTCTCTCATTGGGCAGCTCTCAGCTTGATAGTATGTGTAAGACAATGACCAAATCAAAGAGAGTAAGGAAGGGACTGGCTTGTCTGCCTATGTCCTTCAGAGCCTGTTTCCAGCAGCAGTGTGTGCTCAACTTTTCCAGACAACTCATTCTGAATCTCTACCCATAACAAAGCTTTTTAGGTTAAAGTGTTTTGTGTGTGTGTGTGGGGGGGGGTGAGGTGGGGGGGAGAAGATGCAGGGTGTTCCAGAAGGATCTGATAGAATAGGAAAAATAAATAATTCAAATACTTTTTTTTTCTCTTCAAGTTGGTTGACAAGATGTCCTGGGCTCACTGGTTTTCAGTGGATGTTTTGTTCCAGTGACACAGTCATTTCCCAAGCACAGATTGTAGTTTAATCTGTCGGACGCGTCAAGTAAACGTCTTCCAAGGACCATGTTCTATTCACACCTAAATAGCATCCTCTGTCCTTGCCATTCCATTTTCTGCATGACTGATCTTGGTCTTTTTCTAGGAATCTCTCTTTAGGTTCAGTTGTTTGGTTCCCTGGGAAACAAAACACAAACAACCCCTCTTGAATGCTACAAGTAATATAAAGACACCAGAACATGTGTTACTTACTGGTTTTCAGAAGACACAAATAAGCTCACATCAGGTACACCAAATAATGTGAATAATGATATAGGGTAACAGCAGCCAAAGTTAGCAGAGGTAGAATTGGTAAGTTTTGGACCATTCTTTTTCCCAACTTCTTGAGTAGGTTGACTATAACAACAAACTGCTGTGCGGGAAAATTGAAAGCAGGCCTCAAAGAAATATCTTAGCAAAATAGGATTTGAATGAATCCAGGGAAGCCAATCAGCTTTTTTTATCAAACTTGGTCAAACTCCCCGAATAAATTTACTAGCCCTGCTACACCTACTCTTTACAGGTTCCCTACTCTAATGCAACTTGTTGCCTGGTGGTCTTAAAACACTGAAGGGGAACACTCTAGGGAAAGTTATTGGAAAGCTTTTCAAGAGAGGCCTTGTATGAAGTTCACATTAGAAGTCTATCCACACATCCTTCAGACATAAGGGGAAAATCAACAGAATGTAAAAGTGTGTGTGTGTGTGTGTGTGTGTGTGTGTGTTGGGGGGCAGTGATGCTTAACCTTTGGAGAAACAAATCGGTCACTGGGACCCTGGAGTGTGAGCATGCTGTCCAAGAAGGCTCACTGGACATTTAGTGTTTAGTCTAGAAGCTATAGTATCTACCACAGACACAGATGTTCTTCAAGAATTGTTGATGGTACCTGAAGATGACAGAGAGGATTTTCATAAAGAACCAGTTGGTTCTTCAATATTTTAACCTTAAGATCACTCCCAGTAGAATGGGTGTTGAAATTGGGCCCTTTAATACACTGACTATAATCAAACCCTGATCTTTAAAACCTGATAACTAGACAAATTCTCTATGAAGCCCCTAATGGATGACAGAAAGCTGAAACTTTTAGAATGTAAAACATCCCATAGGCAGAAGAAGCATCACTACTAGATACTAAAGTGGATTAAAAACAAAAACTGTTCTTCCAGATGCTGTCCAAAAATTGGTCACATGTGTGGAAATTAATTATCTTCCTTCTGGAAGAGATACTGACAATATCATGATAGGTTAGCTGTATAGCAAGTACTGTCTAAGTAATTTCTTCTTGATCACTCATCTTAACACTTTTCCACTAAAGAATTTTCAAGTGACAATCAACACTCTTGTATTAGGTTCAAAACTGGCTTGTAATAAATAAATGAGGTGACACAGGCTTGTGCCCCTCACCAATACTATCTCTTCCCTTCTTTTCAAGGAAGCAATGAAGATACATTAACTACCCCAGAGCATATTGACCTACAAAAAAAGATTAAAAACTTTCCAAATATTTGCTTTGAAGAAAATAGTTATTTATTGTCAAAGCATCCGACATACCTGGATAAACTATAAAGTTTAATAAATCTCTCAGGGATAAAAGAAACACATAACTATTGAGACTTTGTTTCACTGGCACAAAATTACACTTTGTATTAAAAGGAAATACATATTTACATAATTGATGACATTCTTCACTGAAGTCCATAATCATTTCTTCATACATGCACTTCCCCCTGGAAACGTAAACTGAATGGTGAGCCCCTTGTTATTCATTTTGTTTATTTTTGTAAGAACATAGCTGTCATCAGGAAATGCACAGCGCATCTCACCTTCTTCTGTTACTTTATATCTAAAATAAATTTTGTCCTTACATATAATTATTACATCTAAACCATAAGTGCTTAATAATTTAAGTAGAAACGTATGACAAATGCATCAATATGTTGCAATATATGACATTTTTTAAAATGTATCTTTGTTTGTTTGTTTTTGGGAAAGTGAAAATCCGTGCAATCAAAAGAAAAACCCCCGCAAACAACCCACCCAATCCAAAATCCACCATCCTGTCGCTCGCGCGTGTGTCTGTGTCCCATGTCAAGGATTTGAATGATGAGGCTCCTGGCCAGGGGAGGGACCTCTGTGTGTGTGTGTGTGTGTGTGTGTGTGTGTGTGTGTGTGTGTTTGGTTGCGGTTTGGGGGTCGTAAGGAAGCGGTGATGTCCTCACGCGTCTGCTCCTGCAGGTGGCTTGACTATGCGTGCATACGCGTGGAAAGCCGGGCTCCTTTCCGCATCAGTTATGCGAGGTCATGTGCCTGGAAAGGTGGTGGCGCTCCCTGAAGGACTCGTTGCAAATGGGGCACTTGAGTTTCTCTTCCCGCCGCCGTTTCACCAGGGGCTCCATGGCATACTCCTTCTTGTGATGAGACCGCATGTGGTACACTAGGTCGGAGGTCATGCGGAAGGAGGCATTGCACTTGGCGCACCAGTTCTGCGCCGGCAGACACAGCGAGGTGAAGGAGGGCGGCAGCAGCGTGAGCGCGGAGGGCAGCTGCAGCTGCAGGGGCCCCGCGGCCGCCGCCGCCGCCGCCGCCGCCGCGGCCGAGCTCTTGGGCCAGAAGGCGGTGGCGTAGAGGAAAGGGTTCTGCTTGGGCAGACCGCCGCCGCCGCCGCTCGCCAGGGGCCCGCAGGCTCCGTTCAGGTCCGCGGCCCCCTGCAGCTTCACGGCCAGCGGATCGGCGGCTGCCGGGTAGAGTCTGGTGGGCCCCACGCCGTCGCCCGGGTGACACGGCTCGAGTGCACTCAGCTTCTGGCCCAGGACCAGCGGGGACAGCTGCGAGAAGGAGCGCGCGGGCTGTGAGAAGGCGCTCTTGCGCTCGTCCGACGTAGCCGCCTGAGCGCCCCCGGCTCCCGCGGCCGTCCCCGCGCCCCCTGCGCTGCCGCCGCCGCCCAGCTGCGACACCGAGGTGAAGGCGCTCCCGCGCGCGGGGCTCCCTCCCTCTAGCCGCCCCGGCAGCGCGCCTCCGGGCCGCGGGGCCAGCAGCTTTTCCGCACCCCCGGGCGACGCGGCCGCGGGCGTGGACGAGCCACCGCCGCCGCCCGCGTCGGGGTCCTCGGTCGTGCCTCCCGCGCCGTCCGCGGCCGCCTCCTCCTGCAAGCCCGCCGCGCGGCCCGCCTTCTTCACCTCCACGAAGGCGCTGCGCTTCGCCTCTCCGGTCTCGGGACTGGGCGGCGCAAAGAGCCGGCCGTTGTCTTCCAGCCCGAAGTAGCTGCCCGCGACGCGGTACTGCTGTGGCGTGCACACCAGCTCCTCCTTGGAGGCCGCCAGCGGCCGTTCGGAGAAGCGCGCGCGGCCACCCGCCAGCCCTGCGCCACCGCCCTCTGCTGCTGCCTCCTCCGGGAACCTCCTCTTCCCTTTGCAGCCGCCCGCGGCCACGCCGTCGGGACTCAGCTCCGCCTCCTGGTGGCCGCTGCGGCTACCGCCGACGCTCGGGGCGGCCGAACAGCTGCTACCTCCCCTGGAGTTCTCCAGTTCGCGAGCCAGGTTGTGGAAGTCCGTGGATGGCTTGGCGCTGCCAGCACCTGCGCCGGCCGGTGGGTTGCTAGCCTCCGGGGATGGCGCCGGGTAGTGGTGTATGGGGCCGGCTTTGCAGAACTTGGGGCCTGGGACCAAGGGTACCTCCTGTTGCTGCTGCTGTTGCTGCTGCTGCTGCTGTTGTTGTTGTTGCTGCTGCTGCTGCTGTTCTTTGTCACCTCCGCAGCCTTGGTCCTTGGTGCCCACGCCGCCGCCTTGTTGGTCCTGGGGATTCGCTTCCGCGCTGTGAAGTCTCTTGGGACAGCGGAATCGCAGATGCGCCACATAGGGGAATTCAAACTGGAAACGTTGGCTGCATTCCAGGCATGTGTAAGGGGACGACCCTGCTTAGTGAGCAAACACACACACACACACACACACACACACACACACACACACACACACACACACACACCACATGGTTAGTCAGCATTGCCCCACAGCCACTTAGCCATCATCCCCATAACAAATCCAGTTTATCTCTCTGGGCTGAGTGCCCGAGAAAAGAATTCACTACTACCCTGTCGTACTTGGTACAATTTTCCTTCTTGACTTGCTGAAGTACATTTATCAAGCCAGATGCGCCCAACTTTTCCTTCCCTTTCTGTCCCAGCCCCGTTCTGGACAAACACCTCCCTTTATGCTGTGAAATACCCAATGAAAGCAAGGTTCACCCAGGCTCCTGGGTTAGTCCCTGCTGCTCCCTGTGCTTCTCCCCAGCTACCGACCAACCTATACGCGCGGGTCGGGTGGTAAACCAACCTACCATTCATTTTGTGGGATCTAGAGGGGTACAGCAAGAGTAGCTCAGTCAGTTCTTTCCCGTACCAAACGAGTAACTCCTCGTCTTTGGCAATCCTGCGGAGGGAGCGGTAGAAGAGCTGTCCGTTTTTTATATAAGCTTCGAGATTCTGTTCTTCTTTATCTCTGGCTGATTGGACCAGCCGCAGCCACATGAGACCTTCTGAGGAACCGTTTGCCGCTGAAGTATCTACCTAGAGTGTTGTTGAAGAACGGGCATCCACGTGAAAAACAGAAACCAGAAAAACCAGGGCTTTTTCTTCTGTTTTGCCCCACCCCAAACATCCTAAACTAAGTTTGCAAAATGTGACCAGAGTTGGACCACATCCCTATATTTGTAGTCAACGGGCAAGATAACCATCCTTTGCGACACTAAGTCAGTTTTATAGATTAGCCTATTCAGAATTTCCTTTCCTGTTATCGCAGAAGTAAAAGAAGGAATTCCGCGTGTTTCAGAAGTGAAAAGAGGCAAGTTTTGGATCTTGGAAATTGTTCTATGGCACTCAAGCCCATCTTCCTAACCATGGCTTGAAGGACTAACAGGTTTTCCTCAAAAAGAAAGCCTAGGAAATGCGAAGTCTTTTTCAAACACGAATGTGAATTTAATGATGCTTGGCTGACAAAACAAAACTTGAGGAGATGAGACTTCCCAGGTTAGTAAACAAGCATACTCAGTACTTGTAAAAATAAGTGCCAGGAAGTACTTAACCTGTAAATAGTCCCAGCCCTAGAGAAGCCTCCCTAACAATTTAGGAAGTCCTAATCTACTAAGAACACAGAAAGAACCTGGGCACCGATTTACACATCCTTGGTGTTTAATTTTCTCAGAAAAACTGGTTGACAACTCAGTCTAGTTCTTCTTTTCATATATATATATATATATATATATATATATATGAAATATATATGTATATGAAAAATATATGATATATATATATATGTCTGTGTTCACTGACTGTTCAAATTATCACATTGTCCTTAGGATGGCACCTTGCTCATTCCCAACAAGAATGCTTATCCTCAGACACTTCCACCATACCAGCTGAGACTTACCCGGAAGATATAAGGTACAGTTCTCTTGTCCGTGGACTTGAGGGCTATGAAGGCTATGCTGTCATACAGGGAAGTATGGCTCAAAACACAGGGGCCGAATATGGCATTCTCTGGGATGTCGCAGGTTGTATATACACTGGTAAAAATATCTGTCAGGCATTGCTGGACAGCCTTGGCGTCTCCATCCCAGATGCCTCTCTGGATGCCCGACTCCTCCATCACTAGAGGCAGATACACAGGACAAGCAAGTTGTCATTGCCTTTTCTTCTGTGAACCTCGGCAGAGCATTTCCTCTGCTACTAGACATAATTTCTTTGCACTTGCCGGCTTTTTTTTTTTTTAAACATAGCTCCTATTTTAAAAATAAAGCAGACCAATCTGGTAGGTTTTAAAGATGCCAACTTCGAAATATTATTCTCTCCTTTTAAATATCTAGAATGGTAAGTGCGAGAGCACGCTTCCTGCTCGAGAAACAGAAAATAAAGAGAGTGTAAACACTAGATCATGGCTACATTACTTTGGGATGCCTAGAGTGGGTTTTGGTGGTGAAGGTAGGGTATATAGATTTTAAATGGCATATATAGATATTTTTTTCTTACTGAATACAAAACCCCCAAAACTTCTAATCCTTGGGGGAAAGTCCTGTCTTCCTACATACTGGACCTGGTGCCTTGATCTAATTTCTTCTTTTCTTCTAACAAGGAAAGCAGCCTTAGCTAGCAGGCGGGGACAGCAGAGCATGGCGAATGGATTTCAAGTGGAGTGTCAGGGCTACTAATTCTGTGTCAGCTAACCTTTCTCTGCAGCCTACAAGAAGGGGCGCATGTCTGCTCATTACCATAATCCAACACCGTCCCTCTGAGGCTTTAATTAAAAGCAGCAAGCAGAGGTAATTATTTTTTTCTCGACATGCTTATTTATGGATGAGGTTGAATCCCAGTTACCTTGTTATACAAGGGGGTGGATTGAGTCACTTGTGGCCCATGAAGCGAGCAGGTACAGGGCAGCCTGAAGTGTCCCCGGCCTGAGATACCGTGTGTAATGATTGGTGAATTCTCACATCCCCATACCACCCAGTTTGGGCTAGAGAGGGAAGCACTGCTTGAATAGTCCTCATTGGGCCCTCCAGCTGTTTAATCCTCAGCAATTTAGGAAGTAATGCCCCAGTGGAGGGCTCCCTATTAAGCTGTCATACAGGGACATTTCCTTCCTCAGCCACTGGACACCCCTACAAAACTTAGCACTTACAGAAAGCAGTGCTATAAAATAATTAAACTAGCTTTTAGCTGGCCATGTCATTTTTCCAAGTGATCTAATGAATCCTCTACGACAATTTTTCTCTAGTAATTTCACCATTGATTTCTCTGTATTTATATAATTTAAGTGGCCGGGGGTGGGTTGGGGTGGGGGACATCATTTTATTTTTTCCTTGTGCCGCTTGCAGCTAATTACAGAACAATATTTATTGGCGATGTGTATTTTTTTATCAACATCTACTAACCAATTAGTCTTACAAATGTGATTAAAAGGTAATGCCTGAAACTTCAGTTTCTTTTCTATTCATTCTCCAACATGCCCCAAATGGCAAGTATACTTTCCAAACAGCAGGAATAAGGGAAATAGCCACAAAATAGAAAGTTTAGGATGCTACACTGTCTTGGATGCATCTGGTCCCTTTCTGGTTTCCAATTGCAGATCAAATACACTGCAGAATACAGGTTCTCTTGGCTCTCTGTCAGCAGAATCCCACTCTCTCTCTCTCTCTCTCTCTCTCTCTCTCTCTCTCTCTCTCTCTCTCTCTCTCTCTCTCTCTCTCTCTCTCTCGCCAGTTGCCTGCTTTTCAACATTTTGAACCTTGATTTCTGCCTCCCTTTGGAAAGTATCTTTCATTGTGTCAGGAGATCGCCCACCACTTCAGCAACAGCAGGGACGCAGTCATTAAAATGCAGTTCTGTCTAACAATACAGCGAAAAGGTCCCATGCCTGGGTTCGGTGTTGCCACGGTGGCCGCCACGACACAAACCAGCCACATTAAGCGATAGGCAGAACCCAACTAGCCTTTCACAGCCCAACGCCCATCACTAGGCCTCGGGGTCTCTTCCTCCGCAGATCCTCCTAGGAAACCTTGAGCCGGGTGTGCTCCCTGAAAGCCGGTAGCTGCCGAGGCTGCTGGCGGATGCTCTCCCTCTACTCCGTGTTGGCATTGTCTGGCTGCCGTGAGCTCCCTAGTCCCTAGCCTCTCCAGCGAAGTGCTCCCGCCCGCTCCTCCCTTTGTATAATCTTATTGGCAGTGGAAATAACATTCAGCAATCGTTTCTCGCCTATCTTGTAGAAAACGAGGAGAAAGGAGGCGATTTTTTCCCCCACTCTTTCCACTCAACCTGCCTTTTCCCCATCCCCCTCCCATTTCAATACAAATAGACTTACCAGAAATAAGGTCAGGACCGAGTCGCCCAAATAAGGCCACCTGGAACCGAATGTGTGAAACCCAGTGTTCCTTTCTGCCTATTACATTAGTATATCTCCATGTCAAGAGGTGTCGGTGTCAGTCTAGTAGGTTCTGTCCAAAGAGAGAGAAGTGAAGAGAGATGCTGCAGATAGAAAGATGAGAGAGAGAGAGAGAGAGAGAGAGAGAGAGAGAGAGAGAGAGAGAGAGAGAGACGAGTTGTACAGATGGACCCGATGCACTGACTGACTGGCACGCAGACACACACTTTTTGTTTGCTGCACATAATCTGCCCAATGACGCGTGACAGCCCACGTCCCCTCCCTTTAACTCTTGCTGGTCTGGGAGCTCCCTCCGGCGCAAGCCTGGCTTCTCCTGCCTGCCAGCACCAGGCAGATCCTGAGCTCCTTCCCCAAGTGGCAAAGCCTCCGCAAGAGTAGCCAGGCTCTCCTCCTGTGGCTGGGGCCCTTTGGGACCCCTGGGATGGCAAAATTAGTTTCAGGCTCCGAAAGGAAATTACCAGAAGAAGCCGAGCGGTTCTTTTCCATTTTGCTAGGAGGACCTAGGACAAGGGGTTGCCAGCCCATTGACTACTCGCACATTTCCCCTGGGTTTGGGTGCTGTGGCCCAAAAGAAAGAGTGAGGATTTTCCCGAGGGATTCTCTGGCTATTGAGCTGCAGCCAGTCTTTGAGGTTAGTGGCCTAGGAGGTGACAGCCAGGCTCTCTTCTAAAGCATTCTCCCTTCCTAACAGGGAGTCCCGTGTAGATTTGGGGGATAACGGGGTGGAAACTGGGCTGTGTCCCTTCCCGCCCGAAGAGTTAAAGAAGATAAATCTGGAATGCTGTCAGACCTCCTAAAGGAACTTGAGTTGTCTTCAGGTCCCAGGACAAGGGCTCACGAATGTGTATGGGCTGCAAGAACATTGCTGGAAAGAGCCTGTGTTGCTGGACTCAGGTGTTAAAGCTTTCTCACCCTCTGTGTGGAGTACTGTGTGATTCCCAAGGGGTCTCATAATGGGAACTGTGGCCCGGATTCTAAGACCTCAGGGTAAAGGGAGGGTGGCTCAAAGTAAAATAAAAATTATTACTGAGACAGGCTCTCAAGAGCTTTTCACATCCAGCCGCTGATGGAGAAGTGATGGAGTCGCTTGAGTGAGGCTGTCTCGGGAGCCTCGTTTGTGCACTAAGCCACTTTGAGGCGCTGGCTTTTTCTTTAGAACTGCAGCTGATGCTAATGACTTGAGGTCTTTGACAGCCAGAGAGTTTACTCATCCTGCTGGGGCCAAAACACAATGGCTCTGGGAGCTCTAGGGCTGTATTTCTCTGGTAGGCCTTCTATTCCTAAGGGAAGAAAGGCCTTTGAGTGGCACAGCCTATCCCTCAATTCCGACCCCGACTCTCACTGCATTCAGTTGGGCAATAGGTCAGGGTAGGATAAATTCAGTTGCAGAGTTTACTCACTAAAGGGCAAGAGGCAGAACCAGGATTTAAGGAGACAATCTCCGTGCCTGCCTCTCAGGGCGAGCATATGAAGGGTTGGCAAAGAGCAGCTGACAGTATGGTCTTCATGCATTTCTGAGACCTCTCTCTGGAACTCTGGAGACCTGAGACCTCTCTCTGCAAACCTAGAGGGCCAGCGGGACACCAGCCAGCAGCTGCTCCCAGGGAAGAACGGGCAGGCATTGTAGGAATGTAGAGAATTTCCTGGAAGTTCACTTCTCTGGACTCTTATCTTTCACCAGGCCCAGAAAGTTGTCATTCGAAAAGAGACATAATCCCTGCCTAGAATTAAGCTGGGGCTGGAGGAAGGAAAGGGTCACCACCATCATAGATTGGGAGAAAGATCAAAATTCTCACTTGACTTCCAGGTTCACTACTGACATTTCAAAGGAAGTTCTTCTTCAATCTGAAGTGTCCTTTCTCCTCTGCAAGTTTGTTCAGGTTAAACTAGCTTGGTGAAGGAGTTCAGTTAAATGATAGTCTCCGAGTATCTCCATGTAAGTGTCTGCAGCTGTATTTATCCCCCAATTTTCCTATGACTCCACTGATTTCTCTTCATTCTGAATCCCCTGCATTCTCCCTTACACACACACACACACACACACACACACACACACACACACACACACATACACACCATCCCCATAGTGATATTTTAGAGAAAGGATGGGAGCATTAGAAATGTTGAGAGAGTTGTCTCAAATTTGGAAATTAAGCTCCTAGATAAAAAGAATATAGGCAAGATATTCAAGTGAGTTAAAAGAAGGAAAGACATGGAAGACCATGAAGGCCCAGAGGTCAGCAGTAGAAAGGCATGATGGAAAGTCAGTTCTAGGGCTGGAGAGATGAGGCTAGGACAATCCATTCTCAAGAGAGCTGTGTTGGTGTAGGAACCAAGGCCTGATTCAGGTAACACAGACTCTAACTGCTCAGGGGGACTCAGTTCCATTAATGAGATGAATAGAGCAGTGCTTTGTGTCTGCCTTGGTTATCGTTTAGAAAACACAAAGTTTGTTTTCTTTCTCCCAGACAACTTCATCTGCCCATGCATTTTAACAATCTTTGCATATCCTGTAAATACCCAAATACTCATTTACACTCCAGAAGGTAGGTTTCTAGAAAACTAACTCTAAATGGAGGGAGGTTTTCTTGTGTCAGACTTTCTTCTCCTCCAGTATTATGTCTCCTCTCTCTCTCTCTCTCTCTGTCTCTCTCTCTCTGTCTCTCTCTCTCTCTCTCTCTCTCTATATATATATATATATATATATATATATTTCTTGCTTCTACATGGTGAGACATTTAAGGTGGGAGTCGATGAGCTTGGTTTTCAAATCGGAAACTAGAGGAACCTAGAATTCAGTATATCAGGAAGAAGGGAGGTCAATCTTCCTCAAGATCTCTATCACTTAGCTACCCTCTAGCCCAAAGCAGAGTTTTTCCTTTTTTTCTTCCTTCCTTCCTTTCTTTTTAAAGAATCTTATTAACAGATGTTTCATCTCTTTTTTTACATCCTTTAAGTGAACTTCCCTTCCTGGTTTTAGGTTAAAGCATCTGATTTTTAAAATTCCCTCACATTTTATGGATCTGATTTGGTCTTTTGTTTGAAGACAAAATAAATGACTGATATTCTTCAAACAAACAGCTAGGCTGAAATTCCTGCTTCAGAGGTTTCAAGTATTTTAAGTGGTATGCATTTTATTTGGTAATATAAATGGTCAAGATGGCAGTCATTAATAGAACATCAATAAACTCCACAAATTATTTTTATTTTTCTAGCAATGTATGGGCTAAGATAGTGCACAGACTACTTTGAAATCACTTAGGGTATTTCAGCAATGCTAATGAAGAGTTGAGACATTTATTCAGCCTCAGACAGTACTATAAAAATACACTGCATTCAGTAGTTTTATGCAATGACATAGAACAGTGACTTTATGAATGTACTTGGAGCTCTTTCTTTGGGGTTTATTTCCAACTAAATAACCAGAAGAGCTACCATAATGAATAAGAGCACTCACTCTACTCTGACAAGGTGCCTTGCAGGTTTGACAAAAAACACACATGTAGACAATTTCAGTGTTGTTTTGGAAGAGAAGATGAGAGAAGTTGATGTGGTTCCTTTTATGATCTAAATGAAAGAGTGACAAAAAGACAGGAAGTGAAATTTTGTTCTCAGTGAATTTCTCCCACAGGCTTAAGAAGCCAGGCCTCACATTTGTAAAGCTCTGCCATGGGGGGGGGGAGGGGAATGGCATCTCTCTAAGAAGAAGTCACTTAAAGGTTGGCTACTGATAACAAGAACATATAATTTTTTCTATGTCTGTCTAGGTCTTGGTTTCTAAGTCTAATTCTATTGCCAAAGCAACCTACCAGCACAGTCTTGTTGATCACATGGCAATTCATAGTGAGCAGAAAATCATTCTTAGAGATGAAGGATACATTGTTCTCAGACATGAGAGGTTATCCATGAAGCAGAAGGTGGCAGCTCTTCACAAGCTGATTAAGTTCCCAAAGGGATGTCTGCAGAAGAGGATGTCACAGTTGGAGAGAGAGAGAGAGAGAGAGAGAGAGAGAGAGAGAGAGAGAGAGAGAGAGAGAGGTAACTTGGAGGAACAACATGGTGTTATCTAATCTCATCACTCAGAATAAGTAGTTTTCTAAGGGGAAAAATATGACTGATTCTTTGCCCTTAGAAGCAGAAATAATGAGCTGCTGGTTTGAGAGAAACACCTGTTAGACACCAAAACTACTAATGGGGGAGGCATCCATTGGCACACTGTGTGCACTTCCCAGGCAGACTCATTCCCTTGTGCCTACTTCCAGCTGGCCTTCTGAGCAGATAAGTACTTACCCTGCAAGGGATTATGTTACTGGGAGTGAGAAGCAAGAAAAGCATTCCTTCTCTTTAGGAAGGAGTAGAGCCAAAGTGCACAGATGCTCAGGCCTTTCTAGCTTGGAATTTGCTGCTGGTGATGTACTTTCTGAGACCTTTAAGCATAGGGAATGATAACAATAGTAACAATAGTGAGATTCACATTCTTTCTAAGAGTCTTAGAAGTCCCCCTGAAACTTAAAGTACTTTCCTGCTTAGAACTGTTGGAGCACAAACTATCTTCCCTTATTTCAGTGCCAATGGACAACAGGTGATAGACACATTAATCTAACATCAGTAGAAGATGTTTTCTCAACTGTTATGTGGAAAGCCTATAACTTTCAACAAGTTTTTAAAAGTACTTAAAGCCACCAGCAAACAAACATGGTTTTCAATGAGAATACTTGGAGAAGTAGTCTCCTTAAAAACTCAAAGATGAAAAGTTTATCAGAAGCAATAGTAAAATCATAAGAGTTACAGATACAGTGAATATAGATTATGAGTTGGAGGGAACACCAGCCAGTAAGGGTTGACATGTATGGTTGTTCTTTTGAATGTATTAGATGAAAAGTCACCTCTCAAATTGGTACAGTAGTTAACAGTAACAGGATAAGCAACACATCAATGAGTCTCTATACAATTTTAACAAGAACTCATGTGTTTTTTTTTTAAAGAACTTTATTTAAAATTGCCAAATGAATCTTTTGAAATATTCCTGAGTAAACATGATTGACTGTAGTGATTGTAATATTGTGATTTCCTAGGCCTCAAATTCATCCGTGCACTTCATTCATGACTCACTCTCTCTCTTTATCTCTGGATGATGGTACCATTTTTAGAGTGAAACTGAAATATTAAGGAATACATATAGAGAAATCTT